AGGATCAAAGTAATTGTTTCAGAATAAACAGCTCTAGTCTGAAACAATTACTTTGATCCTGGAACATTTCTGGTTAGTACAGGATTGGAACATTTCCAGTAAGATTGGAATAGCTGTTTCAAAGTCAAAGTAGTGCATTTTAATCTTACAATGTTTTCCTCACTATTATGAGATTATATGCATTTTGAAAACTAAGCTTTCTTTCTTTAGTTTGTTTTAAAGCCAGTTGCCATCAGTTCTACTCCTTGCATAGGTGTGTTTTCTGGAGAAACTGGACAACAGAGGAAAAGGGTGTCTGTCTTCAAAAGGCCTCTGCCTTTTGAAGACAGAGACACCCTTTTCCTCTGTTGTCCAGTTTGTCCATGCTGGCTGGGGAATTCTGGGAGTTGAAGTCCACACATCTTCAAGCTGCCAAGGTTGAGAAACACTGAACTAAAGTAATGGATCCAAAACTCCCCCATATGCCATCCTCCCATGAAAATCTGCTACAGTATTGGCTTTTTCTAACAGCTGGACGTTCCACAGAAGGAACAGATGAAATGTACCTTCCATTGAGGAATTGGCTTTCAAAAGTTTGGGTGCCACCTTGAGAGGGGAAAGCTTTCAAAAGGTTTGGTACTACCCCCACCCACTATTAATCTCATAGTAAGGATATGCTACGGAGTTTAACCATGGACTCTTTATTTTAAAAGTAGATATGCTTCTCAATTCCACTGATTTGGGCTGCTTACAGAAATAATTGCATTATAAAATCTATGAAAGACATAAAACTGAATGGCCGAGATTGAATTACTTTTGAGCCCACCCCTAAACAGTAATGAGATATCTCTGCAGCAGTTTGCTCCATATTATAGACCACAGGGCCACAGGAAAATAGACTTAACTGTTGCTGTTAAATGTATCTGTGAAGGACCTGTCAAGTTGCCTCACTAATGATCTAAGAGGAGGATGGACATTAAAAGACCTAAGCCAAATAATGCTTGTACACCTTTGTGAGTCCCTTGAAATGGCTGCAGACACAACTGTTAACCAAGGTAATCTCATATCCTTGAGGATGATTTGGCACTATATGTGTTGCAATATGAAGAGTACAGCCTTGATAATAGTAGCCCACGTGCCACAGGCACCAAGTCTCCTCCTAAATGATACTAATTAGCACCCCCAACTGACCATCATAGACAAATCGATGAAGGAAAGTGCAGATCCTCAATGGAATGGGCAAGACTTCCACAGTTCTTGCCACCCCCATCCTTTGGCCCACTAGGGCTTAGAGATATACAGTATACCAAACTGACTTCAATGTAAGATGTTTTATATGACCAATTAATAGCAATCCATTTTCTAGATTATTAACTATTTTTGAATCAAAGGAATGCTTAGTTGCACATTAAGGCATATGTCTTGCGGTCTGTATAGAATTGTTCTAGAAATTTCTCTGTGTGAAAAAGATATAGGTAGTATTAATACCTCAGGGAAACCTGAAAACTGTTGTTAAGTATAATAGAGTCACCTACTGCACTAAGCCATGGTTTATTGGTGAAAAAAAAACATTCTAAAGCAGAATCAAATATTTTTACAGCTTAGACTGCGTGTTAACTGACTTGAAATATAGATTTCAAGTCAGTTAAAAATGTATATTGTGATACTTTGCAAAAATCCATGGCAGTGCCAATTATCTAAACCAGGAGTAGCCAAATTCCATCTGGTTATTTTTTTTATTCCCCAAATTACCCAGTGGTCATGCTGGTTAAGACAGATTAAAGTTGAATTTGAGAACATCTGGAAAGCGCTGTTATGTCAATTAATTTCAGATGAGAGAACAACCTAACTACAGATACATGGATGATGTTTGGACAGGCAGAGAGAAGGTAGAGCCCAAGGGAGAAGTTTCAAATGCTGGAGCTAGTGACTTCAGTAGGAACAGTTTCTGAAAAAAAATTTCTCACTTTAAGAACCCCACTTTGTAAACAGGATAAATAAGCTTGGAAGGTAAGATAGATTTTAAAAGTTCTGACTTTTTAAAATGTGACTTTGATCTTAGTTTCTCCTTCATTCATGCAAGGGGAAATAATTTCTCCCATACCATCCCTCCATTTGTTCCCCCCCGCCCCCAAATTCCATACCATTCATAAGAGCAACTTTTGTGGAGGCAGAAGATGGAGGCAGCTATCGAAGGAAATTGATGAAAACACCCACTTCAATAAATACAATTGTGTTCCATTCAGGGATGGAAAGTTATGATTCAATTTAATGCATTTTCCACTCGATCTGATGCCTAAATGCATCATTGATAGGGCTGTTTTATTTATCCTTTTTACATTCCTATGGCTTTTCTGAATTCAGAGTTTTGTGGCTCCAAGATATCATAAAAAACTCTGCATTTATCAAAGCTGCGTCTGATGAAGAGTAGGTCATCTACGGAATAGTCATCATCTTTTCCAGTCCAAATGGTTAAAGTGTACCTGGAAGAAGAGTTGCCAAAGTTGAATTCTTTCACAGATAACTAAAATAGGTATTGCAATAAAAGTAAATACTGAAATACATTTTCACATAATGATGGTTCTATCAAATGAAAGCTCTCTGTGGAAACTGTTTCACTGGATCCACATGACAGTTACATCATACATCAGATGTATGAATCCAATGGAATAAAAAAGGTGAGAAGCCTTATTAATATAACAGTTGGTTTCAGACAATAATTTCTACCTTAATCATGTTTTGTGGCCACAATGAAGATGAGGCTGCATCATATATGGGCAGAGCTAGGTTTGGGGCAGGGAAGCTGGGGAGATTTCTGTGTGTTTTAACTGTGATAAGCCTACATTAGTGCTTAGTTTATGGTTTTTGTATATTTCCCCATGCAAAAATGGTGGTACCTTGCCAGTTTTCAGTATTTATAGTCAGAGACGCTGAAAACCATAAAAGGGGACTTGGGGATGGCTGGTTGCCCACCCTGATATAAGTTACCAATAAGGATAGTAAATGAAGTTTGGACACTCCTATATTAGGCTGGTGTGGGTCTTCCAGGTTGTGTGGCCGTGTTCTGGAAGTTTTGTTTCCTAACGTTTCGCCAGCATCTGTGACCGGCATCTTCAGAGGGCAGGAGCACAGACAGGAGCAGTTCTCTCTGTGCCCAGCAGAGCCCGGAAGACCCACACCAGCCATCATATTCCGGCTGTGAAAGCCTTCGACTCCTATATTAGCTTTGTTTGAAGTGCCTGTAATGTCTACGTGGGCTGCTTCCCTGATGCAGATAGTCATGCTGTACTTGTGGACAACTGATATCTCAGCAAGATTTTACAGAGTGGCTGCTCTCCATTGCTCATGTAAGTTTTACATGTAAACATTCCTTAAGTGGAGTTGTAGGAACTGATCCACATGACCATCTTGCCCCAGTAAGTATGAGCTAAGGATGGGCCTCTGATTATTTCTGAAGGCCAGGAACCCATGATGATGTTCTCTGCTGCCCCAGCCCTCCCGGAAAGAACTTCTGCCCATCTTTTTCTGTTATTCATCAAAAGTAGTATTTTCTGACTTGTGCTGGCTCAAGTGGGGCTGTATGATTTGCCTGTTGTGCTTAATTTCATTATAGGTCAACACCTCCACTCAAATTTGTTACTGTGTGCTGTGGCAGAAACACCCCTCCACTCTAGACTGGTCCTCGTGGCATTTTTTTTTACAAGTTCACAAATGGAACAGGGGAAAGTTGGGCTATTGGGCTTTTGTTTTTTACAAGTTCACTGATGAAATAGTAAGAAGGGGAACCCACCTACATTTTATATTAGTACACCATATTGATAGGAAAGAGTGAAATGGACCTATCTTTGATTTTGTTCATGGGGTCACGAAGAGTCGGACACGACTTAACGACTAAACAACAACAACAACAACAATGAGGTGAAATTGACAAGAGTTCTACCACTATCTCCTTCTAGGAGAAAGGACAGGAAACTGGCTGTTTTCTTTTAAATTTTTTTACTAGTCCATGAGAGTCAAGCAGAAAGTGTATCCACCAATCAGGGACCATACTAAACATGATCCATACAGAACATCAGGCCAAAAATATGGCCAAAGCAGAGGAAGGGATTAAAATCTGGAAAATGAATTTTGTAAGCCAGCTATTTTGTAAGCTATTAGCTGTGAATCTAATATCTTAAAGTTACACTGCAGAAAAGTCCTAGAATTAGATTTTGGTGGACTCATCATTGGTCTGGGCTATATAAGAAAGTGCAAATTACGAATTTCCTGCTTCACATCTAAGTCTCTTTTTTTCTCAACTCCCCATCTGGAAAATGAGATAAAACCAACCTCATGTATATACAATGGGCGTGAATTGCTTTGAACAAAGCTGCAATCCTGTGTGGCTCAATCCAAGAATAACATGGTGGATGTTATTCTGAATAAACACATTGCATTAAAAACAATTATATGTTTTAAAATGTGTATATACTAGCTAGTTTGTTTTGCTCAGTTCCCACTAGACCCAAAATATTTAAGCATTGAATTGCTCAGTACACACAGGAAGAAGTGAGAATACAAAGTATTTTCTCAACGTAAGATGAAACATGGCTATATATTTGGAACAACAGACACTGACCCTTGGATCATATTACATCCACATTGTGCACACTAGTTGAAAAGGTGTATTCTGTTTTGTTAACTTGTTTTCAATCATTTCTAAAATCTTTTCAGGATGACCACACTTGAAAAATACCTGAAAAGATACTATACGTTATTAAAATAGCCAGTTAGTGCAAATCATACCTGTCCGATTGCTGTAGTAACCACACAAGTTCAGATATTGACTGACAGACCAAATCAGCTCTTACAGCAAATGTGATTGGCTGAGTACGATCTCTACATATTGCTGCCATTTCTTGCACCATGGCTAGACTGTAACCTAAAGAAGGAATAAATACTATAGTACTCAGATACGGAATCTGTACTTCTGATCTCTAAGCTGTCCATCACTAAATATTAATTATTCAGAAATCTTTTTTTTGTGGAACCAGGAGAAATAGGAAGAGATAATAAGCACTGATGGAAAAGGGAAACCTTGACTGTACTGCAAATTCCTCTTGTTTTTGGAGTAGAAGTCTTCTCTGCACTTAGAAGAGATAATGTGTAGTGTAACATAATCAGAAGTATCCACATGATCCGCTGGTTTTGTCAAAATGATGAAAGCCCATCACACTGTCGCTCCACAAACTCTCCACTTTGTATGTGCACGTGACATCACAATGCAATACAAAAAGTGCGCAGCTTGTGTCATGTCAGCATGATTCTGCTTATATCATTTCTACCCCCTTGCCTCCCTATAGATGCCACTGTGTATAATATTTTTAAAACAATGCTATATCTGTAGACTTCAATTGTAACCTCTTGCTGTGCTCTTTGAAATTAATGTTAAAGATGTGGGATCAAAGAATCATTTTGACAAAAATCTCAGCCGTGTCAGGTTTATAGTTTTGAAAACCGCTTGAATAAAGGAGATGAAGGATCATGATTTTAATAAATAGCTTCTCCACCTTGGTTATCCACCAAATGTGTTGAATTTTAGTCCTATATGTGTAGTGACCTCAGGGTAAAAAGATGGGACATTAATCAAATAAATACATTATTATAAACAAATAACTAGGCTGTCCTTGTCAAAGTAGCTACCTAAAGATATGTGTTGCCCTGATTGCAGGGCAAAGTGAATTGCACAGGATTATGTATAGATGAATTTAAAGCATTAGCAGTGGTTAATTGTATTGCATTACCTGTATTGCATTTTGAATTAATTCTCCCAGTTGTCCATCCCAAAGATAAAGTTACATCTGGAAAAAATGATATCACTGTGTCCAGGAATCCCTTTGCATCAACTACAGGGTTATTGCCTTTTGGTCCAGGAAGTATGTCTGAGTTCATCCAAACAGGTTGTCTAAGTTTTATGTCTCCAAGAAGCTTCATTGCGGGATTCACAGCTGCTAGGCTATAAACAGGACAATACATTTTAAAGTATCTCATGAAAAAGATGCAGTATATTTTTCACTGCTTATCCAAGTACAGTGGTACCTCTACTTATGAACTTAATCCGTTCCGTGACTCTGATCGCAAGTCGGGTTGGTCGCAAGTCGAAGTAAATTTTCCCATAAGGTTCAATGTAATTACCGTTAATCAGTTCCGGCGTCCGTGGACCACGCATCAGGGGCGGAAAAACGGCCGCAGACCACGTGGAATGGGCGGGAAAAGGGCCGTGGACCACGTGGAATGGGCGGGAAAAGGGCCGTGGACCACGTGGAATGGGCGGGAAAAGGGCCGTGGACCACGTGGAATGGGCGGGAAAAGGGCCGTGGACCACGTGGAATGGGCGGGAAAAGGGCCGTGGACCACGTGGAATGGGCGGGAAAAGGGCCGTGGACCACGTGGAATGGGCGGGAAAAGGGCCGTGGACCACGTGGAATGGGCGGGAAAAGGGCCGTGGACCACGTGGAATGGGCGGGAAAAGGGCCGTGGACCACGTGGAATGGGCGGAAAATGGCCGCGGAACATGAACGGGCGGAAAAACGGCCGCAGACCACGTGGAATGGGCGGGAAAATGGCCGTGGACCACGTGGAATGGGCGGGAAATGGCCGCGGACCACTTGGCACGGGCAGGAAAATGGCCGCGGACCACGTGGAATGGGCAGAAAATGGCCGCGGACCACGTGGAACGGGCGGAAAATGGCCGCGGATCCGGTTCGTAAGTCGAGTTTGTAAGTAGAGGTAAATTTCTGGGGCCGGAGCTGGTCGTATCTCAAAAAATTTGTAAGTAGGGGCGTTCGTAAGTAGAGGTACCACTGTACCAAAAAAGCAAACTGGGCAGGCTGAAATGTTTGGATGTTGTTGTTGTTTTCACTTTTAAAATTGGTGGAGTTAATAGGAAAATTGGGTGGCTTAAGCCTGCAAAGGCTTAAGAAATTCATTTTACTCAAAATAATAATAATAATAATAATCAGGCCAATTCCCCACCCCCTGCAAATTTTCTTCTCTTACTCCCCACAAAGCTCCCCAAACTACAAACTCCCCCAACTATTCTGTATTTGAGTTCATACATGGCAATAAATCTTGACTCCAAATTTTCAACCTCCATAATCAGGAACTTGCTTACACCAGAAATTTAATGGCATGACATGGCTAGGTACGTTGCTTTATTGCAGACAACACAGAAAGATCTAATGATGCTGGACGCTACACAGAGATGGAGATAGAGATGATAAGAGATAGAGATACACACACATCCAACACCAGAATTTGAGGCTGACAAGGAGGGAACGGGGATCTCTTTTTACTCATACATGCTTGCTCCAGTGTTTAAATTCTAGGTCTTGTTTCCATCTTCCACTGGTTCTTCATTTTGTAAAGAAAACTACAGTAAAGAAAAGGCCATGTTTTTTTTCCCCCTCTGTCGGTAGATAATAGTTTCAGTGTTGTAGCACCCTCTACTGATGAGGAAAAAAACTAAACTTTGGAATATGTGCAAAATTTTATTATTTATTTCATTTTCTTTATTAAATTTCAAAAAACTAACAAAATAATAAAATAACATATAAATATAAGAATAAAATAAAAGAACTTTTGGAGTGAGGCCCCCAGTTTGCCACATGGAGCTCTGCAGTCTTTGAGGTGACAAGTTGTACACTCAAGCCGTACAAAATTCAGAGGACTTTCAAATCCATGATACATAGTAAAGCATCATATACATGTTAAATCAAACATGATTAAACACATAGAATCATCCTTTTTTTTCTAATGTCATTTATTCTAATTACTGGTGACTTTCAATTTTCAACTATTTCAATATATATTAAATATATCTGGATTTAGTATTATAAGCAGACCTATCTATTGCAATAGCAGTAGTAGGTAGATAATAAATTAGCTTACACAAAAGAAAATTAAAAATAATTACCTATTTAAGTGAAATAACTATTGTATGAATGTTGTAGATACTTGCACAAAACCATTATTTATTATTTATTATTAATTATTTGTTGATGTTATATTGTAAAATATATTAAATACTTGCCATAAAGCTAATTCTTTCCAGTCAAAATTTTGGCAGCAGCCATATCCATCTTATTTTAGTTGTTGTTTTTTAAATTTACTAGGGTATATGTATCTTTAGCACTTTAAAGATAGGTCCTGCAGGACACTACTAACAATGCAATTCTTGGCATATTTACTCAGAAGTCATTAAATTCATAATATATGTGTTGGTAATTGTTTGACCAATAATTGCTTACTCAATAATATAGTGGTTATTTATTTAAAGTCTGAAATATGTGTGTGTGTGTATGTTTTCCAAATTACCTTTTAAAATCAAGCTTGATCCCCTTGTTGGTGTTTTTAATTTCATTCAGCCATTCTTTGAGTGTGTTATCACTATTTGTTTCAGGTGGATGAGCCATGACTGGGTCACTACTTTCCTTTCCTCCATAAAGAAGGACGTCTGCTTCTATCATGTGAGCAGCACCTTTTAATTTCCAAAACAAGAATGGAAAAAGAAACAAGTAGCAATAATGTTATTATATCTAAAATATAATAACATCTTAATTATAGTAAGTAGCAAAGTTTTTGTTTCCTATTACTTGTATATCACAGGAAAACTAGTGAAAGGAGCTATGTGGAACTCACAACCTATTAAGAAGCCATGGAGATAAATCACTGAAGAACTATCGGAAAACCTGCATCTCTCAAATTGATTTTCCCTCTTATACAATGGGGTTATTATATTCAACTAAAGAATATAAGAATAATTTATCTCCCCATGGATATGTACACATTCTAATCACATTACTTATGCCACCTGTTGGGAATGCAATGGAAATGCTTACTTTAAAATATGAACTGTAAACATCTATTGCTTTAAAATGCAAAAAAAGTAAAAGAATTAGAAATTACTAAGAGCCAGCTAACTGAAAAAAAAGCACTATTCTCTCTGCTTTGGGTATCACAAATCATTTAATTAACTTCTCGTTAGTGCTTTTAGGATAAGCAATTTAGCTGATATAAGGTAGCTGTTATATATAACTATTTATTTTTTTATTCATTTTGTGTGTGTGTGTGTGTG